CTGTTAGAACAGGGGGAACCTTTTGTAGAGTTCTGCCAAGGTGGTCAAAGAACAGAGGGGAAAAGTAAAAAGAAATGGCATAAATGTTGAATAAGAGAGTAAATTTCCGTATGATAAAAACAACACGATAATTTAGGAGGCAGCATCCCCAAACTTTTAGCCCTGGGTATGACCTTAACCAGCCATGTGACCATGGGTGATACATTTCATCTTTCTACCTTAGTTTCCCACATGAAAACGAGAGGGTAATACTGAGTCAACTCCAGGTTATCACTTCTGTTCTGGGTCTCCCACAGCTGATCTCAGGTGCCAATCTGCACATTTCCCTTTCACTTGTTCTTCCCATAATTCTTTCCCCAGAAACATCAGTCATTCTAACAGTTATGACTTTCTCAATTCTGAGAGGTAATAATTATAGTCTAGACCCAGCATTGCTAAATCCTAAATTTCCTGAAAGCAGTATAATGCCATCTCATGAATACATGTACAGGTCTAGCAGCACTCAGTTCACTCTGCAGGTAATTGAAAAGATTTAAATAAGTTAAATTTTCTCCAATCTCCAAATCAGAGCTCTAAACAATAACCAGGATAATTAATATTTACCTTTCATCAATAACAACCAAGATTTAGCACAATATAATGTTAACAATATTGGCAGGATGGCACTGTGGTAGGCACCTTTGCACATACTTGCTTAGTCTCCAATGACAACCCAGAAAGAAGCTTTATTAACTCTAAGGTAAAGTGATCTCTTCAGGGTGAGGAAGAAAGGTGTAGGGAGCAGCTCAGAATGGCTGCCACTGTCCTGCCCCTCCCACCTGAGGGCATTTTGTGTCAGCCTACATTTCCCATGATACTCTCCTTGCCTACAATGCGCATGGCGTAAGCACCTTTCTGCTTCAGCCTACATCTCCCATAACCCCCTCCCGTTGACATCACTTCCGCTTACCTATGTGCCTACCTATGACTTCCTGCTAGTCTGATAGGTCCACGGCATATGAGGAGATCCAAGCCAGCCCATCCTGTAAAGCCACGTTCCCTTGGACTTTATATAAGCCATGTACACTTCCTGAATAAATGGGACTTGATTGGAATTGGTCATCTTGTTCTCATCTCTGATTTCTCTTGCCCAGCCCTCTATCCCCGTCCCCTCTCCAGGCGAGGCCTACTGACCAATCCGTGGGCCGGATCAGAAAGGATCCATCAAATTCTGATTGTATTACTTAATATTATTAATATTTTTGAAATCTTGGACATTTTACTTTTCCTCTCTGAAGCTGTTTCTCATCTATGAGGGAAAGGACTTCTAACTTGCATCTTAGTATCTTCTAAGCCTCTTTTCATAGTTTTGAGTTCTTAATTTTGTATTAGTTTTCATAAAGAGGTCCCCCACAATTGTCTAAACTTCAGGACCTACAAAACTTAGGTCTACCTTTGAACTTATCCTTCCAGGCTAACACAACCAGTACTATCTTGGTTTTTTGTTTGTTGTTGTTTTGAGTCAGGATCTCAGTATAGATTCCAGGATGGCCTTGAACTCACAGCAATCCAATCTCAGCCTCTAGAATGCTGAGATTATAGGAGTATACTACTATGGCCAACACCACTACTATCTTCTTTAGTAATTTCAGTCTGAAGGTATTTTTCAAACACCAACACAAAAGGAACCCTGTGGCTTTCTGCTTTGGGATCTATTGCTTGGGTTTTCTTGGTCTTCACAATAGGCCACTTGAGTTGGTTTCCTCTGTGGCATGCCCATCCACTCTGGTTCTCAGATCATTTCCTTCTGTACTGAGCATGTGGTGATGGCTCTATTCCAACCTTCCTGCTGCTTCTCTCATAGGGTGTTCTTTGGACCAGCGCCTGTAGCTGCTCTGGTACTGGGCCAATTGCTTTTTGTAGCCAACAAAGCAGTGCTGTTGCAAAGAAATTACTTGAAAAGGAGAGAAAGAGGGAGCATTTTATACCTCAGTATCTGTTAGAAAAGCTCAAATACCCGAACTCACATTTCATTCCAGCTTCTTCTGTATCCCTGGATTTTGTATCCATCAAAATACTCGTAACACTGTCTTTTATCTACTATTCTTTCCCTTCATCTTGACCTTAGTAACTAGATCTCTGTTTCTTAGTTTTAAAAATAAATGCTATTATATACTTGAGGTTTACAACATGATGTAATGGGATATATAGAGTAAAATATTTACTTCAATGAAACAGATTAACGTTACCTATTATCTCACACCTTTGGGTTTTTTTTTTTTTTTTAAATGTGTAATGTGTCCCTTTTTCCCTTTCTGCAAACCAGAAAGAATGCAGGTATGTACAGCCAAGAAATAAGAACTCTGGACTGTGGGAATTTTGGAGAACTGAGCACATCGCTTCCTTTTCCTTCTAGACTGTCCGTTTGGTAGTTCCATAATCTCAATACTTACGAGTTTTAACGACTGCTGACCTCAGAATGAGACAGTGGGAGACACCTCAGATAAGTGTCATCTGACCATAAATATGAGAAGCCTGAGTTATCGAGGCCGCTTTCTTTCCTCTTTGCATTCAAGTCCCTTTCTCCTTTAGCCTTTGAATCCCCTTCACCTTCTTTTGCCTTCACCCTTCTGTTCCTGCTACATCCCTTGATCAATAAATGTAGCTCCTTCGACATGTATTTGGCAATCCTTTCCTTGTCATACACAAGAAAAGGACTAATTTTCAGCCCATTCAACTGTACATCAGCACTAGATATCTTTTAGGAATGGTTAAAGTACAGTACTCTCCTATTAGTAGAAAAAGCGTGGAAAAGATGCCTAAAAAATCTTAAGAGCTGTGTAATTTTAAGACATGATTTAAGTATGTGTTAATCCACAGAACCTACAGCAATCAGAGTACTAAATATGCCCTCAGACAAGAACTGTACCACACACTCAGTCAGCACTGACCCAAGCAACCCTTGTCAAACGTAAATGAGTCTGGAGGCAAATGGGTATGTGTGGGAATCATCTTTCAACAGTAAAACCAGCAATCTTATTATCTTGCTAGAATATTATTGTTTACGAGTTGGCAAAATTGGGGTGATACTTTAAAAGTCTGAATTTTGTGTTTGTTTCTTCTCTGCCTCCCCTACAGGTTCACATCGCACATCAAAAAACCAATTTACTAAATTCTCTATTGATTTACCCCTAGAAACACCAGACACTCTCATGATCCATGGGAAAGATGAGATTTCAGTAATGAGAGACTCCTTAAATTTCTGCATTTGTAAATAAAAAATACAGCACTTTTTGCCAACAGCTCCAAAAACATAAGGCAGCAGGAGAAAAATAAAATATATCAAGGGGAAACAATTTGCAAAGTTTTTTTTGATAGGGTCTTGCCACATAGTACAGGATGAACATAAACTATGTAGCCCAGGTTGGCCTCAAACTCCCAATGAACCGCTCACCTCAGCCTCCTGGATGCTGGGATTATAGATGTGTACCACCATGCCCAGTAAATTTGCAAAGATTCCTAACCACGCATACTGAATTTTTAAATTTTAAAAGCCAAAGAGGTAAGATTCCTTCATCAAAAGTTGTAGTTTGAAGAATGAAATAAATGCTTTGATTAGGAACTAAAAAGGATATAAACAATTTAATGTGTTTAGAACAATCAGTAGAATTAAGGGACTCAGACCATGTAGAAACATACTTAAGGCTGGAGATTTCTATTTTTGTGAGTAGAAAAGACTTAGGGTAGTTAAAAATACTCCAAAGTGTAACAGTATTGTAAAATTTTAGAAAAAAATGTTATTGCTTTTCAGTCTCATGAACATAGAACAATCTACTTTCCTTTTTCAATCCATCTTAAATAAGAAGGTACGGACAGAGTGAATTTTTAGCCTGAGAAAGTCAGTTTCCCCTCTCAGTATTAGGAGGTAATGCAGCACCTTTCTCATCCTGACTACTTGTGTATCGTACTAAAAAGGATATAAACAATTTAATGTGTTTAGAACAATCAGTAGAATTAAGGGACTCAGACCATGTAGAAACATACTTAAGGCTGGAGATTTCTATTTTTGTGAGTAGAAAAGACTTAGGGTAGTTAAAAATACTCCAAAGTGTAACAGTATTGTAAAGTTTTAGAAAAAAATGTTATTGCTTTTCAGTCTCATGAACATAGAACAATCTACTTTCCTTTTTCAATCCATCTTAAATAAGAAGGTACGGACAGAGTGAATTTTTAGCCTGAGAAAGTCAGTTTCCCCTCTCAGTATTAGGAGGTAATGCAGCACCTTTCTCATCCTGACTACTTGTGTATCGTAATTCCTCTCAGCCTGAGTAAGTAGGACCTGTGACACTTCTCCAATCAACAGACTACAGTAAAGATGATGGGGTATCACTACATACACACCGTTACATTATGTAAGACTATAGTTTCTATCTTTCCCAAAGGCTGTCTCCCTTGCTGGTTTTAAGGAAATAGGTAAATTTGTTGGGACAGTTTGGGAAGCAAGGAGCTAAAGCTGGCCTCTAGCCATGAGCTAACTGAAAACCATTGCCGAGTTCAACAGCCCACAAGAGTAAGATGCTGCCCACAACTACATGAGCCCAGAAGCAAATTGCTCCCCAGTCCAAACTGAATACCACACTGACTACAACCTAGAGACCCTGAGATAGAGTACCCAGCAAAGCTCTATCTGACTCCTGACCCACAAAAACACAGAGGTGATAAAGGTGTGCTGTTTTAAGCTGTTACATTTACGACGATATTGTTATGCAGCAATGGATCACCAGTACAGTGAATGTATACACATATGCAAGGTGTGTTTGTGTTACAAGTTCTGGAACGACTTATCCATACACATGCACAGAAACGCAAGCCTGCACTCAAATACTCTTTAAGAATAAAGAAGTATGTCATAAAAAACTTAAGTGCAGTCGAAAGAGGAGTAATCTGAAGGAACTTGGCATTCTTCACATAATTAATTCAAAAGAGAACAAAGATTTAATGTAAAGCATAAAACTATAAAGTACTAAGCAACATCATGGAGTACTTTTATTATCTTGAAGTAGGGAAGGTCATTCTAAGCATGTCAGGAAAACCAGGAACTATAAAATTTAAAAAGTTTACATCATAAAACTTAATAACTTCTATAAAGAAAAAACTATAAAGTTGAAAGACAACAAGATGGCCAAAATTTGCAATGTAAGATAACGAAATAGTGTCTTCAACATACATAGTTCTGAAAAATCATTAGGATTACATATAATGCAAAACTATATAGCCATTAAAAATAATACAAATCAGTATTTATAGTTATGTACAAATGCTCTCAATATTAAGCAAAAGAAGCAAGACACAAAGCAGCACAAAGTATAATCTCCCTTATATAAAGATGTACATATTTGTATACATACATATATAAATAACCACAGAAGTCTCAAAATAAATTCAGTTAAATCTTAACAGTGGTCATTTTTGGGTGGAAGACAATCTTTCATTATATTAGGCTTGTTTTGTGGGTGGTATTGGTGACTGACTACAGAGCTTTTACACTAAGCTACATTCCTGGTCCTATTTATTTTGAGACAGCATCTCACTAAGTTACTAAGTCTCCCAGGCTGGGCTCAGACTTGTGATCTTCCTGCCTCAGCCTCCAAGAGTGCTGTAATTATAGCTTTCAACAAATGTACATGAACTATTAAAGAAACATTTTCCCAAAAAAATTTATAAATAATACACCTATAAAGCAAAAACTTATTATTTCACAAAAAATAATCAAGATAGCAAAACATCTTGTATGGAAACAGCAATGCAAAAAATATTTAAAAGGAAAATAACTTTAAGGATGGAGTCAAGACCAGTATCAATAATCATTTCTGGAAACTACATTTTCTCAGGCAGAATATGGTGCCGAGTCACCTTCCAGCACTCTTCTGTTAGTGGGGGAAAAGCATTCTAGAGATGTCTGAAAATACCTTCAGGAGAGAATGGGAAGAAATTTTGAATATGATACTAAAATGTATAAAGGGAAAATAACCGAATGGTATATTAAGTTCTATTGTCAAATTAATGATGTTTTATCATACCAGTAATGGAAGCATGCACTGGCATGGGTAAGGCCATAAATGTGAAAATACATGAAACATCCATATTATATAGTTCTTAAAAATCAAGATTGATCACAATGCATTTAGGACTTTTCAGCTTCAGATGCATACTGAAATCAGCTGAGAGCTTAAAAAGCTCCTGACACTTAGGTCTAGAAAAGGCAAATCTATAGCAACATAGATGAATGGCTCACCTACAGCTGAATGCAGAAACAAGGAATGGCTGTGATAGGCATGAAGGTTCTTCTAGGAATGATGGAAACATTCTGAAGTATGTGTGACCTGGTGATGGTTGCACAATTTACTAAAAAATCACTGAATCATACATTAGAATTAGTGAAATCTATGTGATGTAAAGCTGTTTTAAAAAATACTGGTAGTTTGGGCTATACCCTGAGATGCTTGAGATTCAACTTTCTGGAGAGGGAGTAACAAGTATGGTTTATGATTTTTGGAAAGTTCCCCAGGTGGTTCTAAGAACTACCAATTCAATTACCTAAACCCATTTTACTGAATTACATATTACTAAGGCCAGGTCCCGTGAGGTAGTGAACATACACAGCTTTGAAGTACCTTTGGCTTCCACTGAACACATCCAAATGTACAAATGAAACACCAACTATATTCATTATAAACCCTGTCTTAGGTGATTTATAAAGACAAGTCTTACTAAGAATTATAGCTTGAAAGCTGAGGGTATGCTAATTACATACTTAAGGCAAAAAGTTGGAATTTGTTCAGAGAAACCCAATGAATAATGTAAAAGGATTTAAAGATATAGCACATGGGAAAGAATTAATGATAATAAACCAGGAGTTGACAGGGAAATAATGGTTATCCTCAAATATTGAGAGGCTGCTGGAGAGGCAAATAAAAGGACATCCTCAAAAGAAGCAGGATGATGAGGCAACAGAAAGACAGCTCTCGTTCTTTCTTCGAGGCAATGTTAGATGCTAGAGCTGTAAATGTGGGGACTACAGTGCAGTGGTGATGAACCTATGGTACTTGTGCTGCAGCGGGATGCTCATCATTGAAAGTTCTAAATGGTTGGCCGGCACTGCTCTAGTAGTTCTCAGATTCCAGCACAGTCATATGGATGGCTAAAAACACAGGTTGTGAGACTCATCCTGAGTTTTAAGATGTTTGAGGTGGGGCCCACAGTTCTACATTTTTAACAGTATTTCTGGTGATACTGATGCTGCCAATCCAAAAGCCATACAATGACAACCACTGCATAGTCTAAATTTTGTCAAGAGTGACAGAAAAAAAAAATATCTGTAGCCTGAAGGAAGAGTTTGGGGAAGAGCTGCATTCTGAAGAGGAGGTAGACAGGTGAAAGGACAGATGAAGGTATGGCAGTCTAAACAGAAAGAACAGCACAAAGGGACAATAACAGAGAAAGAAAGCCTGAACCAGAGTTCATGGTCTGAGTATTATATACATAATATTTCTCTAGCAGCTAGATACAGAAAGATAAAGGAAACAAGGCCCTTGCTCTCGTGGAACTTACAAATATGTATTGCAAACTCTCCAAAAAGAACAAAACTGGCTATTGAGACAGAATGAGAACATCTAAAAAAGTAGCATTTAAGTTGACATCTTAAGGAGAAAGCTAGAACATTCCAGAGGGAAAGCTTGTTATTTGTAAAGTGAAAATCATAATGGTAGGAGAACAGTGACTGAGTATGTGTAGATGATGAGCTTACAGAGATAGAGGCATATTCTATAGGACTAAGTAAGGAACAGACACACCCTTGAGATAAACTACAGTGACCAGACCAAAGACTAGTGGGGAAACAACTTCAGGTGAAAAGTGATGAGAGCTTGAACCACTGTATCACAATGGTAACACAGATGAAGACGAAAGATAAACTATCTTTAAGAATTTAAAGATAAATTAAACCACCTAATTGTATATGAAAAGAGGGCAAAAATAATATTATAGTAGTGTAGAAGATTTTGTCTTGCACAACCTCAGTGCTACCACCTCATGAACAGAATTCTTTTAACCGTGGTAAAGACGACCACATTCATGTTTGTATGAGAAAAATAACCACGGTTGTGTTTATCACCTGATTCAGAGTTCACAAACAAAAACAGAAGTTTGTCGAACACTTCTGCTCACAACTAAATTGTTTGCAAACAAAAGCATTCATGAACCAAGATACCATAGTAGCCATTTTCCCAAACAGGAAAAAAAAAAGCACTGATGTAAGAGGGAGGCAACAGGTGTAGAAGGGAGGTACGCTTGGTTTTTGACTCAAGGAATTTGGAGTGAATAAAACAAATACAATGGAAATGTTTGCCATAATTGATCTAAGAAAGCAAGCATGGGCAGATAATTAAGACTTGGGGAATTATATTAATAAAAGTGGTAACTGGAAGAGAACTAGGATGTCCACGGTACAGTCCTGAATAGAACACTTTAAATATGTAAAAAAAAATTAACTAACAAGTCAATGAAGTCTTTAAAAAGGGGATATAGATAACAATGTGAGATGCTGAAGAATGGTGGAGTAAGAACTAAAGTGCCCACTGGGCTGAGCAATATGGGCTCACACCAACTTTAATAGGAATAACTTCAGTGGGTTATTAAAGTCAGGTCACACAAAGCCGAGGAATGCCTCAGCACAACAGTGGAGCTTGGCTATAAAAGACGAAGTCGGGAAATGAGCGGAGACAGGCCCACATGAGAATTAAGAGACCTGAGTATGTTTATGTACTAAACGAAGGTGACATTAAAAACAGAAACTGATGGATGGGAAAGTATCTTTAGGAAGTTAAGATCAGATTCACTGACTCTTGCTCATTCACACATATATGCAGTGCTGACATAGGACAGATGAAGATGCTTACAGTAAAGATCACTAAGGAAGCCTAGAGCTCTCCAGTTTCAATTTCTTCAAGGGCTCAGCAGGCTTAAAAGGCTTCAATTGTGGGAGGATATATAAGCTTGGATATTAACAAGAGGAGAATGTCTAAAATACTCTAAGAACAAAAGAAGTTGCTGGATCCACGAAGGTGCTAAATTGCTTTGAGAACCCACCCATCTGTGGCAATCTGTAGTGCTACCTATCAGTGGTGTGTACTTGGTAGTACACCACAACCCACAAAAGCAAGTAAGATGGCTATTTGCTTGATCCAGGCAAAATTTCCATAGAGTCAGCATGATGAAAAATAGCAGACTATAGGTAACTTGACAGGCCAGTGTATGCTACAAGACCAAAGCCAGAATGAACCAATTGGAGGCAAACAGTGCCTAAAGAAATAGCAGGCTTGGGGCCAGGGTTTAGTAGAGGGGCATAAGAGCCTGCCTAGCAAGCATAAGGTTGTGAGTTTGATTCCTGGTACAAACAAACAAACAAAAAAGAAATAGGAGGCTGCTTGAGAATCAAGAGTAAGTATAAAGAAAGATTAAAAAAAAAAAAAGAAAGAACAAGGCACTTTACACTTAAAGTAACTCTTGAAGATAAAAGGAGCTGAGAGAGCCAAGTTAAGCAGCAGAAAAAGTATTTACAAAGAGCAGGGAAGACCTGTATAGCACAGAGAACTAGCAGGGCATTCAGCAACAGCAAGTAGATTAAGGAAGGCAGGTAACAGTATTACAATATGAGCAAGAACTGATGACCAAATACGGTTCTACTTCCGAGGCAGCAGTACACATAGCGAAGAAAAGCAAAGTGGATTAAACTGGTCTTAGTGTTTCAACTGCAACTCTATAGAATAAAGGTGGTTTTACGAAAAACAAACAAAACACAAGTACTGGGCAATGACCAAGATTATGTACTTCAACTGTCACACTGAATTCTAAAATGAGTATTGAGTCTAGTTTTTCCACCCTGGATGCTCCCCAGCTCACCTAAAATGAGGATCAGCCATAAGCTGTTCTGTGTCTCAACGAAGCTTAGCCTTAGAGAGCATGGAAGGGCAAGGTCAGAAAGACTAAGGCAGCAGGTGGCCAGGTGGCCTGCTGGCTGCAACAGAACATGGACAGGGAAGAGACCCACATTCTGATGAGGTTGAGGGTAGAGAGTTAACTCACATGGTCTACTCTTTCTTTCAATTGCATAACCTGATAGGACGAAACGCACTTCAAAATCATCCATGTCCTAGTTTATCAAGGAAAGAGGCTGTGATTTAAATTTCTTTGAATTCACATAAACTTACATGTGGCAGGACACTGAGAACCAAACAGTTGACACATAGCCATAGATACTTCTAAAACTTAAGATTACTTGATTCCTAAATCCAGTGTTCTTTAGCTTAATAATTCTCAGATTCTTATCTTGCCTTTTGAAAAAGATTTTTAATCTACAGAAAAATTCTTATTTCATCTCTATGTCTTACAACTCAAAAATTTTTAGTAGTGTAAGTTCACCAGCTGGAACCACCTAGCCATTTTTGAATCTTCTTGTGAGGTCTTTCTTTCCACTGATAAGGTACACAGACAGCTCTAAAGACAAGGCTAGAGAAAAGTCTTGGCTGTGATTTCTCTTGTATGAGAAACCCAAATATAAAGAGAAAAAGAAAAGATAACTAACAGCAAGGCAGATCTTTTGCAAATAGGAAGGAGGTCTAGAGATAGAGGAGAGGAAGAAGTAGAAATGGATTAAGATATGTACATGTTCCAAATTTCCGTGATGAATGTAATCATCATATACTGCAAATATGTGCCAATAAAAATTTTTAAAAACAGAAAGTTTGCCTAATAAAATTCATGGGACTATGACATACAGAAATATTAACTAAATCCTTTTTTCCACAAAAATAGAGTGGAAATATGCCTTAAAGAGTAACCAGGTCAGGGCCGGGGATTTAGCACAGTGGTGTAAGTGCTTGCCTGGCAAGCACAAGGTCATCAGTTCAATCTCGGTACCAAATATAACAAAACAAACCAAGAGTAACCAGGTGAGAAGAATCAAGAAATTCCAAGATTACTCTAAATTTTATTCATATAGTGTCTGGCTGTATTCTTTTGTACAGAGGGTGACAGAAACACATGGTGAATAAATTTGTTACAGTGAAAAGACACACTGCCATTAATCTCCTTCAAAATACTATCCTTTGCTTTAAACACACTCCATTTTCCTTGCAATTTTTTGAAGCAGCTCTAGAAATCTGTGATTTGAGGTGTGATAAATTGTGTGTGTGTGTGTGTGTGTGTGAGAGAGAGAGAGAGAGAGAGAGAGAGAGAGAGAGAGAGAGAGAATGAATTCTGCTGAGTGCCAACCAATAGGAAAGGCATGCTTGTAAAACATGACAGAGTACCTTCACCCACAATGGTCATCTGATCTGGCACATGTGACTTCTGTTTCTTTCCCCAAAGTCAAAATGGCCATGAAAGGTAAATGTTTTTGAGTTTATTCAGAACATCAAGGCAACCATAACAGCACAACTAAAGACATTCATGGAAGTGGATTATGAGAAAGTCCACTTTGAAAAGTGACAAGAACAATGGGACAAGTGTGTTCAAAGCAAGTAGAAATACTTTGCGAGAGATTAACAGCAATGTATCTTTTCCTGTAACATTTTAAACATTCCCTGTATTTTTAAATCACACCTAATATTGTTCTCTACTTTCATCTTGCATGATCTTCCAGTCAATGGTTAAGCTTTCCATGAAGAAATTCAGGATCTTCCATTTACTGGCATTAACCACAATGTCAAAGGCCCAAGACATACTTGATGTAAACTAGGAGTGCATGTAATTTTTACAAAGGAAAGGACTTGTCATCTCATGAAATTTCAAGTATCATTTTTGTTGCCGTCAAGAATATTTTCCAAGTTAAGAGAAAACCAACTTTTTCCCTCCTACATCCAACTAACTTCCTCTCAATATACACATATATAATCACAATTCATGCACACAGAACCTTAAAATTTTTAGCAATGATCTATCCCATACATTTGGGATAATAACCGGGGATATAGCTCAGTGGCATAATACCTGCCTGGTAAATGTGAGGTGATGAGTCTGATTTCTAACACCGCCCCCTCCCCCATCATACTTGGGACAATCTAGTATGCCTCGGAAAGGCGAGAGGCAGAGGAAGTACCATTTACTTTCTTGAAGCAACTTGAGTTTGAACTAATGAGAATTTGGAGGCCAAAGGAAAAGAAAGACATTTCCTTGTTTTCCCTTTTCCTGGTCCACTGAAAAGGGATATTTCTTAAGAACCAAGGGTGAGAAAATATTTGCTGGTCATCAATGGTTTCTTGATAAAAAGAGGATAAGTGAAATCCTTATGAAATTATTTCTACTTCATACTTCATACTTTCCAAAAAGCTATTCTCATCAATAAGCTGATCATATGAATAAGCAAAATTATTTCAACTCAGTTTATAATTAGCAAATAAAATATTTACAACTGCTTTGGCACAAGTTAAAAGTGGTTCCCATATAATAACTAATTTTCCTCAGGACTATCAACACTTATTACCAAAATTTACTTCATTGTCATTTAAAGTTGCTACCAATGTAAATGACAGGGGCTCAGGTTAGGAGTGGGGATGGGAAAACTGAATGCATATGTATGTGTAAACACACTTCTAAAAATTTTCTGATATAATGTAACTATATCTAATATTATTTCAGAAAATAAAACATAAAACATGCTTTAAAAAAAATTAGGAAATCAAGTTATACTTTTTATAAAGCACCACCAATAACCCTGGTAAATTTTCAATAAACATGGAAGGGGATAATCAACAGAAGGTCTCGACTTTACAAAAGACATTTCTGTTCAGACAACTGAAGTACTGTAAAAAAAATAACAGCAAGTAGGGATACATCTTTAAAAACCTATTGAATTCTTCTCTAGTGCCCATATTAGGGTGCATAGCACTGACTAGATACAATCCAGGTCAAGGAAAGATGCAATTCCAAAAATACACTAACATCCGTTCTTTCTCACTTACGTTATAAATACAACTTAGCAGAGGATCAGGAAAAAAAGAGGAAGGGGAAGGAGGCAGGAGGAAGAAGGAATGAGGTCAAAAGAGAAGCAAGGAAGGCCAAGAAGAAGAAAGTAATCAAAAGAAGGAGGAGGAAAAGGGAGGAGGAGGACGAAGGAAGAGGAGGAAAATGAAGGAGAGGGAGGGATTTCAAAGGGAATTATGCTTCAGGACTTATAGCAAAGGCCATTTTCTACACATGAAAAGTATGAAGCTATTATTCAGATGTGAAACCTTACTGAACCTGGTTATATGTGGGATTCCAACAGTTCAATTTTCTACAATTTACAATTATATTTTATTTCATTTTATTGGTACTGGGGATCGAACTCGTGACCGACTGCTTGCCAGGGAGGCACTTGTGCCACTGAGCTAAATCCTGGGCAATTTACAATTTTAAAATCCCACTCCAATATCACTTTTCTTCTTTTAAAGTGGATGATACCATACTTTGCAAGAGATGTTTTCTTAATCTTTCCTTTCATCCTCCAAATGTAAGTACTGGTTGATACACAAATGTACTACAGAATTATAATAATGACAAGGAGGGAACTGAACTGCATCTAAAATTAATGATTAAGAAAAAAATTAACTGACATTTCTTGGATATCTGTAAATGACAAGCAGAGAAGAACAGAAGGGAAACACAGGTAAAATCATGCTAACCTTACAGATCTATTAGCATTTAGCATGTTTTTGATTACTCTTGGGCAATCAGATTAAATGTTTATCTTCTCAATTATTCAAAGTATGACATGCAATAATTCATAAGTTTACTAAAGCACAATTCTGAGTTATGCAGGCAAAGCTGGTTTGGAGCAGCTTAGAAAGGGAGCCCAGGGTCTACATTTCAACATGGCTGTTTGCAGTAATTGTCAGAAGTGAAACAAGCATGTGTGAGAGGAAAATGTCCCCTCTTCCCAGGAGGAAAGCTAACTACTGATACTATGCTTGCACTTCTAAACTTAGAGATTTGTATAATTCTGATCCTCTGAGGAATTATTAAATCTTTTCATTTTTTTACTTTTCTATTAATTTGTTAAAATATTTATGACAGTAATGAGAAATACTCTGAAAGAATTAAACACAGATTAAAATATGAATGATGAAGAATTCAACTCTGAGGAAATTGGAATGTAGAGAAATCTTTTAAATTAAGTTTTTTATAAAATATTAACAGAAGAGAAGAGTAAACTTGGTTGCAAATGTACTTTCTTAAAGTAAAATCAATGCTTTACATTAGAACACCAATATTTCTTTAGATTAATCTTATTTCATTAATTCCAAAACTGCAGATTTCTTTTAGAGAGGGCAGGACTAATTTCTTTCTTCTGTTCTTTTCAACCTGTAGTCACGACAGACTAAATCCTCCAAGTAACTATAGAAAATATCCTATTATCAATTAAATGAAATACTGTAAGTTTCAAAATATCAAAAGATGACTGTCTTGTTTTCCAGGTCTCCTCTAATCACAAACCATAGCTAATCACAAACCATAGCAAGTATACAAATTACTCCCCAAACAACCACCTATCCACCCACTGTACACTTCAAGATACCAACTTTTCTCAGCATCATTGTAACTGTCCCCTGGTGACTGGGAATGGAAAATTAAATTTTTAAATGTATTCTGTATACCCATCACTTATTTTTGAATTTTTAACCCATAAATATTTAAAGACATTTATAAAGACCAAATGGTAAAAAAAATTGTGCTTTCTTCTGTAATATTACTCGGGCAAAATTCTTAAGTGATAATCTGTATGTATGTAGTTCAGCAAAATGAAAACTAGTTTCCTCATAATGTCCACTGAAGTTTTAAGTCATACACTTGAGATGAAATCAGAAGACACCACACAGCAACACTTACAAATCCCTTAACAGGTCAAAACATTCAAATGTTATACAGTATTAAAAGAAGAATGAACACACACAGTAGGCAGTGAACCAGAGAAAAATTTACAGAAATTGGATCTTATATGAAACCTCTTTTTCTTTAAGAAGATGCCTTTTGAGTTAGATCTCATGCCAACTCACACTGTAACTGGACAGTACATTTCACTTCTATTTACTAGAAGACATTTCTTTTAAAAAGACTGGGACAGAAAAGAAAGAGGAGATGACAAACTGTTCTAGGTCCATGCCAATCTCCCCTTTCAGAAAAAAAAAAGGACAGCTAACACATTTAAGTCAAATCACAGATTTGTAAACCAAAATAAAGGACACAGTATAGTGAGACAAAACACTATTTTTAGTGAAACTTATCTTTTGTCCTTTAAAAGAAAATAGTCTCCTTCCAGTAACAGTTTACATAGCTTACCTAACAGGAGGGAAAAGGACAGCACCGTGGTTTCGAACATTCACATACAAAAGAAACAACAGCCAGTACAAACTAGAATTAAGACCAAGGTTCCCAACAGACAGGGACAAGTCCCAACACACAAACACAAATACAATTATCTATTCTAACAAAACCAAAATGGATGAAGAAGGGAATGCTAACTCCTTGTACTACAAAGAAGGAATGGGACATCCTTATTAAAGCACAAAAGAAAAAGCAACCTCCCAAATGGATTTTTGATGTTGAAACTCTTGTCATATGCTGCTGGTAACAGTAAATATTTTATATATTTATATATATATATATATTTATATATTCATATATGTATATTAAAAAAAATAATCTATTTATTGAATAGTCAGTAGTCAGACATTTAGAAAAAAGTAAAAACAAGTTCTTTTTTTTTCCTTTTTAAAAATGGATTTACTAAAACAGCTTTATCACGCAGAGGTACTACAACCCCACATTCTCTGATGAAGTCAAGGTATTATTCAATAGCATTTGCTGTGAGTCATGTTCAGACGTTGCCATGTTGGGAACTGCAAACATCGGGTCAGAACCGCAAGGCAAGAAGCTGATGCTAGTCTTGCTCATGGCCATGCCTAAAGCCAGATGGTACCTGGAATATTTGCGAATGAAGGTCTCCCAAAAAGCATGCAAGCTGTGGCTCAGAAAGACATTCTGGTCTTCTTTTTCTTGCTTTTAATTTACTTTTCTTTTCTTTTTTAAGAAGTTTGGATTGATGTACCTGTTCTTCTCTAAAATGTACACCCAAGACAGTCAAACTTCTCAAAGGCAAAAAAAAAAAAGAAGGCTTTTGCCTTGAAATAAGAAAAATTCTTCTTCCCAGCATCCAGTATAGTCATCCTTCTGCTTAGAAAATAAGGTAATCCACTCAGATGGTGCAAGGTTCTCTTATTTGGGATTTTCTTGTTGGTATAAATAAGCATAAGCAGCTGAGGTCTACAGACTGGACTACTCTCTCATTACTTCTAAGAATAACTGATCTGTTCCTTTTAGCTGTACTGATGGAACATTAAATACCAGGTAATAGTGGTAGGAAAGTTGTACTCTGACTCCTCTCCAACTGTCCCAACTAAGGAGATTCAAGCAATCAGTACCATCAGATGGTAGTGCTAAGTTATAAGCCTCTAACATCAGCTGGCCTTAAGCCACATCCTACATGCTCTGCTAGCACACCCATGTATTAATGCCAACCAGCCAGCTCTGAGCTCTATCAAGTGTCTGGCCTTAATCCAGTAAATTATACTCAAGGGACATGAGTTGAAATACTGGCTGTTGTACCAAAGAGGACATCCTCTGCATAGATGTGCTGATAGAGAACATAGCTCACACAGTCCATGCAAAGGGGAAGCTAGCACTAAGCGGACTTTCTTTGAAGGCTGTTCATCTTTGGAAGCAACATTCTGAGTGGATCTCAACCACTCTACTGTATAACTAAGGTTTCAAATGGTCCATTCCCTCCATGTCCCAAACTAACCAAGCATCTGCTAACTGGTTTCTTTAAGATCCTCCATTGGCAGTTTGTAGCTCATTAGGAAGGAAGAAGGTGGCGCGTGACTTGGGCTATCTGGCCCCTGCTTCTTTGCACAGCTTACACAGATGTAATCTTCGTTTTCAGCCATTTCTGGAGATACACCCACACAAACTTGATGAAACCACTCATCACAGCCACCATCACATTGCACCCAGTCTACCTGTAGAAGACAAGATTGGGTAATGTTAGGTTATATAACATTTTAACCTAGAGTAAAAGCAAACCAAAGAGCTTTCTTTGCTTAAATGATAGCAAACAACTGGGATGTCCAGAGACAGACAATGACTTCTTATGGGGTTATTTTCCAAAGAAAGAAGCTGAGAAGTTAATACCCCAAAATTATATTCCACCATAGTGTGTCCACAAAATTAGGCCTCTTAGGTAGGTACTCCATTACCTCATAAATACCGGGGGTTTCTTGAGAGGCAGAAACATGTTTGGGGAAAATTTGACAAAAAAGAAACTTCTAATAGAGCAGCCAAGTAGTTTTAGCTAATATTAAAAATTTCTAGGCTCTAAGACAATGCAATTATCAATCAAGAAAGGAAGAGTACAACAATGTGAAGGCAATCCTGTGTATTAGCTTTATTTCAAAGAGATAAGCCAAAGTACTAAGAGCATTAAATACCTTTTTTAGAAAAGCAGTCACATAGGCCACTTTTTAAACTAATATTTTTTATTCTTCTCTTCTTCCGTTACAAATACAACTCCCTACAAAAAGTTAGCAAATATCAGAGGTCAAATCTTACAAATTAACCAATTATAACAGTCAAAGACACAGGTCAATAGATCACTCTGGGTTTAAAATCAAAACGTAGGTAACCAATAGGTGTCAGTGAGAGATGCCCAGCAAATTTTGAACCTTCAGAGAATACCGTGATTGCAGGAGTCTAAGAAAGGACTGTGGTTTGGTAATGTTAAGACTTGGACTTGCTGTTAATCATAAAGTGACTTTTATATTCACAAAGTGATTGTGTTTATTTTTATATCTAATGTCATGGTAGGTAAGCACTTTGAGACATGAGAAGTTACTCTTCTTCTCTCCAATATAAAAGTTGATCATTTCATTGGCAACAGAGAAAACCACTTTAACTCGGTGCCCAACATGATAACAGAGCAAAGTAAGGAATACAAAATATCACAGAAGCATTTCAGCACAGCTTATGAGAAAGAACAAGGAGGTTTTGGTTAGGTAAATGAGTTTCATTTGGGGAAAGACTGATTTTCAAAACCAGTTTTCATGCTATTTTTTTAAATTTTGAAACAAAAAAAGAGTAAGAACAATGATTCAAAATTTCAAATCAACATAATAGAAGATTAACAGTAGTTACATATTATGTATTATCTTCAAAGGAGTTGTTTTTATGTCCCATAAAAATTATTGAAATCGTAATTATGTCAATAGCTTTAGGCTTGTAAAGGATGGGAAAAACAATCTATACAATATTTTTGTTTTTAATATTCCTACTCTAGAACTATAGATCTCAAGAGATAGTGTTAATAGTGTACAGATCATGGAGCTCTAGTGTCTATCGTTTCTGGCAAGTTACTTAACTTCTCTGTGGTGAGGTTCAATTTCCCTGCCTGTGAAACTTCTTTTCAAATCTTGTAGACCACCTGCACCAAAATTACCTACCCCCATGTTCTTGTTGAAAATATACCTGGGAATCATTCCAAATCTATGTACTCAAAGTATTTGGAAATATAAGCCAGAAGCTGACATTCCTAATCACTCCCAAGTGTGGTTTTGATTTGTTGTATAATTTTAAGATGGAGTCTCCTTAAATTGCACAGATTGACCATGAATTTGAAATCCTCCTGCCTCATCTTAACAAGTAGTTGGGATTAAGGAGTTGCCTCAGAGTGATCCTTTTTTCTTTCTCTTTCTTTCTTCTTTTCTCTTCTTTTTTTATTTTGTTACTGGGAATTGAATGACCTCATGACCTGATGCTTGCCAGGCAGACCAGAGTGATTCTGCTTCCTGTAAATTCAGCACACTTACCAATTCCTTTCTAAATTCCTGTTTTGTTTGGTTTCGGTTTTTTTGGTACCAGGGATCGAACTCATGACCTGGCACTTGCTTGGCAGGCGCCTGTACCACTGAGCTACACCCCCGGCCCTTTCATTTGTTTTTTTTTTTGATAGATCTCTCTTTGCACTTCCTTTGGCCCATTTTTCATTTTGAGAGAGGAGCTCCCTAATCATTAAGTTGCCTAGGCTGGTCCCACACTTGCAATCCTCCTGTCAGAGTAATGAAATTATAGGCACATGCTACCTACCACACCCATTTTAAAATCCACTTTTACTGTGTTACTGCACGGTATTTTACTTCTGAAGTCTGTGCAGGAAAGAAAATATTATTTCTGTTGGAGCAAATGAATCAGAAACAAAAATCGCAAATAATGACTTCTAACAAAATAATGGTGCTGCAAGCAAATAATTTACAAAGTATTATTAACTATACAGAAGATGAACTTCAGCTGAGTGTTTTGACTGTTTGAAGCTGGTAAAGGGAATTACAAAGATGATCTGTATTTCTGTGAGCTGCCTATGTTCAAGACTTATGCTGTTTCATCATACTAGCCCTGTGCCAATAGACATCTTCAGCCCTACATCCAACCCTCTTAATTCAATCTAGGGTCCATTCATACCAATCCATAGGACAACTCTATCAGTAATAAAGTTACTAATGTATAGTATTTGCCAACAAAAGAGCCCCATGTCATCTTAAAACTAATTTTGCAGTGCTGATACTTCCTGACTTTACTTTCCCAAAATTAAATCTATCATTCCCTTTTAAATAAGGTAGGCAATATTTTCCCTTTTGTGATTTTGACTAGAATTGCTTTTCTAAGTCTAGTTCTTCCATTATTTCAAGAAAAAAAATATATATATAACCCATGGGTCTACATAAACAGTTGACCTTGATAACATAGCAAGGAAAAATTTTCTTTTACCATGTTACAATCAAATTTGGGTTTCATTTCTATTTCAAAAGGTCCATACAGAGCAAACTAAAGTTTAGATCATCAATTAAATCCTTGAAAGATTCTCACACAGGGTAAACAGACTATGTAGTAGCCTGAAAACTCAAAAACAGAATTTAGCTAATCGTATATTAAGTTCTAATAGTCATTATTTTTGGGAGAAGTGATTAGGAATCATAAAAATAATTATTAAAATTTCACAAAAGGCTGGATGTGGTGATGTGTACGTGGTCCCAGCTATGCTAGAGGTTGAGGCAGGAGACCCCAGGAGTTTGGGGCCAATTTGGGCAATATGGCAAGACCCAATCTCTTAAAAATGCAACAATAAAAAAGAAAACAACAAAAACTTCTTGGTTATGAGCTTTTCAATCACTAATGGGTTACTGAGTTCAGATCTAAGGGAAAATGTCTATTTAAAAAAGAAACATGGAGGGGCTGGAGGTTTAGCTCAGCGGCATAAGCGCCTGCCTTGCAAGCAGGCAGTCGTGAGTTTGATCCCTGGTACCGATAAAAAGGAAAAAGACAAAAAAAAAAAAAAAAAAGAAAGAAAGAAAGAAAGAAACATGGAAGCCTGGCATGGTGGTGCACGCCTGTAGCCCCAGCACTCTGTGTGGGAGAGGTAGGAGGATCTTGAGTTTGAGCCTAGCCCGGGCAACTTAGTGAGACTCTGTCTCAAAATATAAAATATTTAAAAGGCCCTGTGATCAATTCCCAGTACAGAGAAGTAAGAGGCAGATAAAAAGATAGAGATAGATACTGATTCAGGCTGGCGACAAAGTTCAGCAGTAGGCACTCAGGCACTCAGCATGCACAAGGCCCCGGGTTCAATCCCCAGCATGACAAAGAGAACTATATTAAATGAGAAAACAAATGTTAAGTTTATCATTTCTGTTTTGCTGTATGATTTCATATTTACATTTAAGAAAAAAATACTTGACATATGATATTTTGTTCAGTTTTTTTAGAGCATATTATGCACTGGGGAAAAAAGAAAATCTAGTCATTTGGTTATACCTAACTCAACAGATTTTTTAAAATTATTTTAGCATTTAGTCTCTTGCACAAATATTCTTTATAAAAGCTAGTTCTGAAAATGAACACAGGACAAGGGATATAGCTCAGTACACAGCACCTGCCTGGCAGCCCCAATCAGCCTGTCCTTGACCTGTCCTTGACTATCACAGTTCTCGCTTGGTGGCTACTGTATAAGGCATGTCAGGCCAAGACAGGCCAGTTGGGGCTGGCACTCTTGATCTGATTATTTTCCAGCTAGGTCTTATTTGGGGGAAAGAAGATACACACACACAGTATGTATGTGCTAATCACTAAATGACTAACTTTGCCAGTATGCTCAAGAATGAGATTTCCAGTCAGGAATACAGATGCATGAGCATCTGCCTAGCAAGTGCGAGGAGGTCCTGAGATCACTACTCAATACCACCACCCCATAAAAACAAAAAGATTTCCAACTATGTGGAACTTTCAGTGCTCAAGCAAAATGGGGTAGCTGGTTACCCTATTTTAGGTATCTCATATATGTTACACTTTACTAAATCTAGCCTTTAAGAATCTGTGTAGAAAGGAGTTATGAACTACTAGTAAAGCTACCAGTGATATAAATATTTTGGATAAGGCAAAAACCTCACAAAAGTTTTTCAGTATCAGAATGGCTAACAAATAGTACACATGACATTAAATCTTTTAATTCACTGTGCCAAACTTCTTATAAAAGTAGTAATGGCTAAGGAAAAGGCTCACGAGACAGTAAAAAAACAGAAGAGAAGCTGTACATGGTGGCAAATGCCTATAATCTAGTACTCTAGAAGGCTGAGGCAGGAAAACTGCTGAGTTCAAGCCTAGCCTGGGCAATGTAGCAACTAAGAAAGAGACTGTCTTAAATTAAATTAAATGAAAGCAAGCTGGTCATGTGGCACAGACCTGTAATCCCAGCACTCAGGAAGCTGAAGCAGGAGGATCTTGGGAGCTCAAGGTCAGCCTTGGCTATAAAATTAAGTTTAAGGCCAGCCTGAACTGCATAGTGAGACCTTATCTCAAAAAGAAAAATTAAATGAAAGGACTGAAGATATAGTTCAGTGCAAAGTCCCTGGATTCTGTCCTTAGTATCCCTCTTTCTAAAAAAAGGAAAAAGTCCATTTTAATGTATACAAGGAATGTTTACCTTAACACTAAAAAATATTATTTAAACATAAGCCCAAAATAATTTGTTCTTTCAAAGTTAACTTGCTTTATTCTTGGTACCAGTGTGAATAAATAAAGGGACAGGTTGCAGGAAGAGAAAGCTTCTGATTTTTAAAACTGTTTTTTCATAATAGTTCTTTATTGTGTTGAAAATTAATTTTGGCTTTAATTTGTTAATTGATGAAAGATATGACTTCGTTGAAACCCTTTACATCATTCTGGCATTATCTTACTATCCTCTTTCTAAAAACCTCATGGAATTTATGTTAGGTACATGTAAGTAATATTCTTCTCATTTTTATAAAAACACTTCTCAATCTGCATATTTTTAGGAAAAAAACAATAATAAGTACTAGTTAGAGAAATGGTAAAGGTACATTTCCCTAAAAACAAATGAACTCTAGAAATTAGTTTTGCTACATGATATTTTAAATAACAGATTTGTCAAAAAGCATTCTTCTATCATCTTTTGCTGAGGATGTATGCTGTGCATTAACTAGGTTTCTTTGGAGATATAGTACAAATTGAGAAAACTGAAAATACTTTACAGAAGTTTTTGAAGAAATACACTGCTATGTAACAAAATTAAGTTTCAGGAACAAATGTGGGGTACTGTAAAAAGTGAAAAACAATAATGACAGGTAAAATATTCATAATCTGAAATAATTTGCTTAAAATTAAACATGGAAATATAACAATACATTGATTTTAGCTAATGACAAGGTATCTTTAACAGCTTAAAAGAGATATTTTCTCTGAATGCTCAGCTAATTCCATTAAAATGTACTTAAAATGTCCCTATAATGTTAGGAACAAAGTCTCGGGTTTGTTTAAAAATAATGAAGGCTTATTTTTTTAAATGATCATCCCTTAACACTTGCACTACATTTTCCACTAGCAAGTCTTTTCACAGAAATTATTTTACCATTTCCTTTTAATCCTCTGAGTAAGCAAGACATATGTTAATTTATATTTAATTTTGTGACAAATGAAAAAAGAAACAGCCTCTAATGTTTATGTGCTACAAGAAAATGTAGGGATTATAGAAAAACTGAATCACATTTAAAAGCTGAGTAGAGAACGAAAAGATTAACTCATAAAAGAAAGGAGAAAAAAGACAAAAGGTTCATAATGGATATAAACAGGAAAAATTTGATCAAAAGTTTAAAAATTAAGTAAAAAGAAGATTCTGCCAATACTGAACTGCTAATATTTTAGTACCCAAAGATAAACAGTAAACCCTTCAACAGATTGTAATAAAAAATTCAGATGAATTCAAAGTGAAAGATAAAAATAATTTACATGCACACAATGAATCTACTAAAATGCTTTAAAATGTTCACAGTACAGGAAAATATACATGAAATTAATAAAATAAGATATAAAAGTGAATACAGTATGACAATAATACAAAACAAATTAGAGAAAAAGAGAAGAGGGAAATATGCTAAAATATTTATAGCTGTTATCTCTGAAAGAACAGACTATGGGATCTGTATTTTACCCTACCACTATTTTCTAAAAATAAAGCCTAATTTAAAATACAGGTGTCATTTAGCTTGCTTGCTTGCTTTATTTTTGGCAACAGGGATTGAACTTACGACCTAGTGCTTGCCAGGCAGGCGCTTGTGCCACTAAGCTAAATCCCCAGCCTGGGGGTGTGCTTTTGTACTTACATCTCAATTTCCCTTAAGTCAGATTCTGAATGGTTTTGCCACTAGTTAGCTATATGACTTTGGTCACATGATTTGAGTCCCAGTTTCATCATTTGTAAAATAAGAAGCCTAAACAAAGTGACATGTTGGTTCCTTCAGCTCTAAAACTATGTCAGTGTTTGACTGAGGAGATAAGTGGGGGCACAATATACAAGAAACAGTGATGTAGTTTTATTCTGTTCATTTTTTTCAAGTTGAACAGTTACTAAATTCTAAATATCAAATAAATTAAAATGATTAGCCAGGGACTTAGCTCAGTAGCATAAGCACCTGCCTGGCAAGCATGAGGTCGTGAGTTTGATCCCCAGTTGCAAAAAATTAAAAAAAAAAAAAAACATAACACAAAATAAATTAAAACGATTAATGTTTGGGGCAGGGCACAGAGATTCACTACATAGTTCAGACCAGCCTCACTACATAGTTCAGAACTCACTACGTAACCCAGGCTGGCCTGAAACTGGTGGCAATGTTTCTTTCTGAGGCTTCTGAGTGCTGGGATTACAAGTATGCACCACTACATCTGGCTTAACATGATTAACTTTTTAATATCCCTGATAGGAATAACAGATATCCCCTAAGCATTTAAAGAACTGATATTTTTCACAAAGTTTGACCATCAGGAATGATCACCACAGAATTGCTACATTTAAATTTTAGGGATGAAAGTCTTTAACTAATTTAACTAATGTAACCCTGCAAAGAGCTAAATTATGTGTTACAGAGGATTTGGGGGGGAAAAGTTATATTCTATTTAGGACAGTACACAATAGATTCAGGGTGTGTAAGATAAAGACTGAAAAGCTTTCAATTTTTGCAATACAATCTTTATGTAATTTCCTGCAGCTCTTAACTATGGCCCAGGATTTTGGGGGATCACTGTAGCTGACAAAGTATTTAATTCTGAGTTATCTTACTGGGAAAATACAGTACTGCTATAAAACTTGTTCTGCACACTGCATATGAAATGCACTGCTTGAAGGGAATATCATGGCTTTTCTATGCTCCTGTTTTGTGTTCATTAAGTATATGATTTATAATATAACAATTTTATTAAGCACACTGACCAATGAGCCTCATTATTTGAAATGGCTTATAGAAACTGTAGAAAACATACTGCACTAGAATCCAAACTCTGGATTCACAAATGTGCCTCCACGACTGTCATTCCTTGACCCTCTCTCACATTCCAGTACAGACAGATGGAACTCACCTTGTCCTTACAGGGCCTCTGGCAGTTCTGTGCTGCACACACAGCATTCTCATCATCAGACTCCTCTGCTCCTGACCAGTCATACTTGGAGGGGATGTCCAGCACTTTTTTCTCTCTTTTCTTCTCAGTACTCTCTTTCACAGGTTCAACTTTGGCTGCAGCAGCTTTTTCCTTCTTTTTCTTTCTTTCTTCTTCTTTTGCTAATTTCTTGGCCAGTTTATTCAGTTCCTTTGATTTATCTGCATTTAATTTTAATTTTTTCTTTTTGGGTTTGTCCATTTTTTTTAGCTCCTTGGATTTCTGTTTTCCTTCTCCAAAAAGCTGTTCTACCTTTTCTAGCTTCCGTTTTCGTTTCTTCTCTGAAGAATCTTTTCCTTTCATTTTTAATGGTTTCTCTTCCATGCTATCATCCTTCAAAAATATAAAATTAGAGACAATTTTAAAGCAAGACATTTTAAAACAGTGATAACTGCTTACACAAAGGGCCCAGAAGAAGCAGATTTATAGACACAGAAAGTAGAAGAGAGGTTAACAGGAGGTGGAAGAAAAAATAATGACTTGTTCATGTACAGAGTTTTCTGTTTGGGATGACTAAAAAAGTTCAGAAACCAATTGTGACAGTTCTGTAACACTGTGAATATACTTAACACAAATGAACTGCTCACACAATAAGGGTTAAAATGGTGTGTCTTGTGTACAATACACATTATGCCACACACACAAAAAAATTGTCATTCTAAAGGTATCTAATAAGTAGATTAAGAAGACAAAATACAAAAACAACAAAAATCAAACACATTAGATAACTGAATAGAAAATAATGACATCTTAAATAAGTTACTGACTTATTTTCAGCCTATCAGAGATCAGCATTAGCATATACTAGTACACTTTTTTATCCCTGTTTAAGGTAAATATATTAAGTAGATAATTGTACTAAATTATGCAAATAAAAATTTTCCTGGTTTTCATTAATCATTACTAAAGTTTTACAGCACCAGGCACAGTGGTGCACATCTATGACTCCAGCTCTCAGGAGGCTGAGGGAACAGGATTGCCAAGTTTAAGGCCAGCCTATTTAGTAAGACTGTCTGAAATAAAAAATAAAAAGGGCTGGGGTATAGTTCAGTGTTAAGAGTGCCTCTGACAGTTCAATCAACTAGCAGTCCCCCCCAAAAAAATTGTTTTAAATCAACAAATTCTTAGTGGTTAAGAAATCATCAAAAGGGCAGGGGATTTAGCTCAGCAGCAGGGCAAGCGCTAGGTCATGAGTTTGATCCTGGTACCAAAAAAAAAAAAAAAAAAAAAAAAAAAAAGAAATCATCAAAAATGTCAGGAAAACATAAAATTGTATTCATGATCTAATTATAAATGGTATGTAGTGACGTCAGCAAGGGTTAAAAAATAGCATTATATGACAAAAAAAAGTGTGCCCATTAACAGAAGGAATGAAGGAAATGTTAAGAAAAAATATTTTAAAATCTTTTTTTTTTTTTGTCTTTTTCCTTTTTTATTGGTACCAGGGATCAAACCCACAACTGCCTGCTTGCAAGGCAGGCGCTTATGCCGCTGAGCTAAATCCCTAGCCCCGTTAAAATGTGAACATGATAAATTCTTTCAGAGAAAAAAAAAAAATTTGCAATTTCACTTTCTTTGCAGATTTGAGACTTGAGAATCTTTCAAAGGAACCTAAGAATCAACAGAATTCAAAAGTATGTTAGATTATAAATGTCTTATATCTATTATTCCTTGAACAAGATATACAACACTGCTTAATACTTTGTGTTCCTTATATGAACTACAGAGGATTAGACGAGATAATAGATGCGAAGAAAATACTTTATAAACTACAAAACACTTTATCTAAATTAGGCTACCTCGTCTTCCAAACCAAACACAAACGGTAGTAAGGTAGTAACGTTAGTAAGCTAGAGGTGTCTATATTAGCAATTGGTGACATAATACCTTCAATTACATGGAAATAAAAAAGCTAATAAAATGGAGCAGGAATCAGAAACCAGAATTAGAATCAAAGTCTCTTAATTTTACTGGGTATATGACCTGACTTCCCACCTATTTGATCTTTAATTTCTCCATATGAGGAATAGAAGAAATATTGCCCCTTTTATTGTACCTGTGCCTTTGTTGCAGGATTATGGTAAACATTAAATGAGATTATGGATATAAAAACACAGTACAGTGCTAGAAACGGTGGCTCATGTCTGTAATCCAACTACTTGAGAGGCTGAGACAAGACGGATCACAAGTCTGAGGCCAGTCTGGGCAACTAAGTGAGACTGTGTCTCAAAATTAAAAATAAAGGCGGGGAAAGTGGGCCTAGGGTTGTAGCTCAATGGTAGGCACTTTCCTAGCAAGAGTGTGTCCCTGTGGTTTAATGTACTGTATGGCAAAAATAAAAGTATAGTAAAAAGTAAAGGTAAAGTGTAAATTAAAATAAAACAAAACATCACAAATTATAAACTGCTGAGAAAGTGTAATATAAAAATGTGGACTCCTCCTTTCCATCTAACCCAGTTCTACAAGCATCTAACTGTGCCCTTATTTCTTTTAACCACTATACGTTCCTATCTAACTCTGAGCCTTCCAACAGTGACTGGACTGCAGAAGTTGTTCTAAACAAATGATGTTCAATTCTCCCACTCCTACTTATTTTTGACAGAAATAGCCTTCTGAGAAAATTAATTAAACCTCCATGACAATAAACATAAAGTAGAACTGCTCTGGCTTAAATAGGACAGCTAGACAAACGGATAATGCCTACTGTACTAACTCTCTGCCAATATGGGTGATACCTCTAAGGAACTAGGACATTTTAATTAGCTTTGAAAACACTATTCATGTTAGCATTAAATCCGTACCTCTACGATATGTAGGAATCTGTCTTCTGAGGGTGGGTGTGTGGCCTGCAAAATCCGCCATATGTGTTGTGTCTCATCCAGAGACACTTCCAAGAGATCTCCAACCATCATGAGTTCTTCCAGCTGGGCTTTTGCTCCAGGTGACAACTCCAACACTGGAGGCTCCAAATTTCGGGGAACCAAAGGGCTTTTCCGAGGTTGTTTCCTTGGAGTGCTAGTACCTTCCCAAAAAGTATTATAAAACAAAACCAAAAAATGAAAAATGTGGACAAATGCAATGTTTTCAAAGAAAATATTTAGAGGAATGTCCCTCCCCATCTGGATTCATAACATTAAAAAATGAAAATAAAGGTTTCAGTTTTTGAGATGGGGTCTTAATACTGGGCCCAAGCTGGCTTTTACCTCTGAATTAAAGCAATTCTCCTAACTCAGTCTCCCACACAGGTACATGCCACCACAAATATGAAACAAAAAAAGACCTAGAATTCCAAACTTTAAAACAGATTTAGAGTTTAAAGTTGCTTATTTTTCCTGATTATTACAGAATCTCCAGACTATTACAGAATCCTAAACCCATGTTCTTTCTATTTTGGACTATTATCAAAAAAAAACAAGCAGTTAGCTACCCTATAAAAATAAATACACACAATACTATGTTGCTCAATAAAATCCTAAATTTTATATACAGAAAAACATTCTCCATCTTCTAGAGTTGTGTCCCAAAGTGGTATGATTTCCCGTCACTAGGAAAAACAAAAAGCGAGCATCACAGAGAAATCATCCATAGAGTAAAGGAAGAAGTTTCTAATAAATAAAGCTACCCAAATCCAAAATATATATTCTCAAAAAGCAGCAATTTCTTGAAGGACTGATAGTGATCAGATAAAATGTAAATGATGAGTTATCAGGGATTTCACAGAAATAAAAGGTATGACAACATAGCTTCAAATATTCTTCTCATCAGGGCTCTGTAATTCTATATAAGTTTTTAGGTTATCATCTCATATTAGAAAACAGGAATTGAGTTTTGCTTTTCTGAAAATAGCATTTTCCGATTCTATTAGTACTTCAATGGTCAGGCACTGCATTTAATTAAGGAATTTATATAGTCTTAGACAATGTCTTTTTTCTCTTGTTTAGGTTTATTGTCTCTATATTTATTTTTTCACTCTTGTTGTTAAGACAATCTTTGCTAAGTATTCCAAGCCGTTCTTATCGTCTCTATATTTATTTTTTCACTCTTTTGTTTTTAAAACAGTCTTGCTAAGTATTCCAGGCTGTCCTTGAACTATATAGCCTAAGCTATCCTCAAACTTACAATCCTTTGTCAGTTTCCTAAATGCTAGGATTACAGGTGTGTCCACTACACTCACATTTCTTAAGAAGGGTAATTCATACCTTGAGAACAACTTTTAGAAGCAGAAGAATAAGCATGCTCTGCACAGAATGAAGGTGCTGTCCACATATGAGTTACCACTTCCTCTGACTTGATAGGGATTTCTTCATCACAAAAGAGATTGGGTTCCAGACTACTAGAGGACTTCACACTGGCTGTGTCCTGAAGAAGAAATAAAGAAAAGTATTGAGAATTAGAACCACATAATCACCTATGGACAAGGATCTAAATGAAAGTTTTCAGTTTAAAGCTTCTAATATAACGTGCTAAAAAAAAAAAAAAACTGACATTAACTAAATAAGATTAGTAAAATCTCTACTCGGGATAAATAAAAAAAGACTACAATTAATGACTCCAGTTAATCTATAGAGATAATATTACTACAAAGAAGTTACTATTAATTTACCCTCCACAGTTTGTAACTATACAAGTAAGTTAAGGAATCTTACCTTTAAAAAAAAAAGAAAATAGGGGGCTGAGGATTTAGCTCAGTGGCATAAAGCACTTGCCTGGCAAGTATGAGGTCATGAGTTCAATCCCCGGCACCACCAAAAAAAAAAAAAAAAAGAAAGAAAAGAAAATAGACTTAAAAGGGGAAGAAAGGGTTAGAAACGACATGTTAGGTCACAAACCATTTAATCCTTTTCAAAGGTGTTTAAACTTAGAATCTTACCAATTCCTTTTATTTAATATAAGTTAGAGCCTGATACTCAGGTGGCTGAGGCAGGAGGACTGATACAAATTCAAAATCAGCCTGGGCTACAAAGTGAGCTCAAAGCTAGCCTTGACAGAGACACAAAGAGACAGGGTACAAGAAATAATCAACAGAAGAATCAAGGGAGTCAAGTATGGGCAGAGGATTTAAAAAAAAAAAAAAATGCATGACAGGATAATCTAAATGCAAGCATACCAACCATATCAACACACCATATTGAATATAATTGAAGTAAACATCCTACATTAAAAGGCAGAGATTTTAATGCTACTTTAAAAATAAAATTTAAAAAAAAGACCCAAGAACATAGTGGTCTGTATTTTACAAATACAAATATACAGGACTACAGATCATATATGTAGCACCCCACTACATATCTTATCTGTAAGAGATGTACTTTAAATATAGACATAGGATAAAATTAAAATACTTGAAAAATGGTGAGTAATTTTAAAAATTACTTTCCCCCAAATAAAAAGTGTATGAAATCTAAAGAAGCAGAAGAACACAAACAGAAGAATAGAATGGTGGTTATCAGGGAAGGACTCAAGGTAGGCAGTACCAAGAACTGGAGAGAGATTACTTGGAAAGGCTGAATTAGAGAAGGAGTTAAATGCTAAACAGCTCTTGTAACACAGTGTAACATAGTTAAAAATAAAGTGTTGTTTACTTGAAAATTGCTAAGAGATTTTTAATATTATCACAAAAAAGGGAGGTGACAGACACTGAGATGCTAATTAGCTTGATTTGAAATTCTAAAATATATTTATATATTGTGTATTTTACTTATACTTGCATATAAGTATATACCTTAAAGCAAGTTGTATACCATAGAGACATATTAAAATTTTAAAAAATTAAGCTCATAGAAAGTGAAAATTACAGCTTCGTCCCACTGATGACAACTCTATAAAAGAGGCAGAATGAAAGCTAAAACATATGTTCTACATAAAGATGTCACTGCAGTGTTACCTAATACTATATGGAACAAAAGTTTCAGTCAAAGTTCACTCTATTTTCACCAAAATTTAAATTACTTAGGTATTAACTAGTGTGGAGAAGAAATATAAAAGAATGAAACTAACATGCCTTTCTCTAAGCAGTTAGTGAACACATAAAGAAACTTCTTGGAAAATAACAGCTACTAATACTCCACATTCTCTTTTCTGATGTATAATTTTATACATATATGCATTTGAAAAATACAAACTATAATATAGGTGGAAGACTTACAAAAGGTAAATAATAAGCCTTAAAAAGAAGTGACTGGCTATATTTTACTATATAATCACTCTTCTTCCTAAGCCTATGGAGAATTCTTCTTCAGGTAAAAATATTCAATTGAAAGCATTTTTTCTGCAACTATTATGGGAGCAAGTTTTCCAGCCGGACCTATCATTTCGATGATTCTGCACGTCCTCTTTTAATTTCTTAAATCTATCTGAAGCAGTGAGTGATTCGTGGATCCAAAAGTACCTGGTCTCAACACAGGGGAGCTGGGAACAGGGTCGTGGAAAATAGTTTATGTGGAGTCAGATCTACCCCGGACGCCCTAGGGTGGGGCAGAACATCTCATTCACCGCCTGTCTTGGAGCTTTCGAGTCATGGCGGCAGAGGAGCCCGAGGCGCCTTCTCATCATCAGCCTGGCGGCACCAGGAAATGCCTACAAAACCGAACTATGCGCTCAAACTTACTCTTGAGGGGCACACAGAAGCAGTGTCTTCAGTTAAGTTTAGTCCTGACGGGGAATGACTAGCAAGTTCTTCTGCTGATAAAGTAATTATAATTTGGGGAGCATATGATGGGAACTACGAGAAAACCCTATATGGCCACCACCTGGAAATATCAGATGTTGCCTGGTCATCAGATTCTAGTTGTCTTGTTTCCGCTTCAGATGATAAGACCCTGAAGATATGGGACATGAGATCTGGAAAATGTTTGAAAACACTAAAGGGACACAATGATTATGTCTTTTGTTGTAATTTCAATCCTGCATCCACGCTAATCGTTTCAGGATCTTTTGATGAGAGCGTGAAAATATGGGAAGTGAAAACAGGAAAGTGCCTTAAGACTTTGACTGCTCATTCTGACCCAGTTTCTGCTGTTCATTTTAATAGCACGGGGTCCTTGATAGTGTCAGGTAGCTACGATGGCCTCTGTAGAATCTGGGATGCTGCCTCAGGTCAGTGTTTAAAAACACTTGCTGTTGATGACAATCTTCCTGTCTCTTTTGTAAACTTTTCTCCAAATGGTAAATATATTCTCATTTCAACTTTGGACAGTACACTTAAACTGTGGGATTACAGCAGAGGCAGATGTTTGAAGACATACACTGGTCATAAGAATGAGAAATACTGCATATTTACCAATTTTTCAGTTACTGGTGGAAAGTGGATTTTGTCAGGAGGATAACCTGGTTTACATTTGGAGCATTCAGACTAAAGAGACTGTACAGAAATTACAAGGTCATACTGATGTTGTGACTGCAGCAGCTTGTCATCCTACAGAAAACATCATCGCCTCAGCAGCACTGGAAAATGACAAAACAATTAAACTATGGATGAGTGACTACTAAACCTTTAGAAATCAAGTAGTAAAGCCAAGCTGCTAAAAAAAAAAAAATATATATATATATATATATATATATATATGTTTGAGTCAGGTGGTGGCACATGTCTATAATTCCAGTACTCTGGGAAATGGAGGCAGAACGATCTCAAATTCAAGCCCTGTGTGGGCAACTTAGTGGGATCCTATCTCACGGGGGTGGAGGCTAAGAATGTAGCTCAGTGTGATAGTCCTGGGTTCAATCCCCAGTGCAAACCAAACAAAATCCAGGCATGATGACACATGCCTGTAATCCCAGTATTCAGGAGGGTGAGACAGGAAGACTGCCGCCAAGTTTGAGTACAACCTGGGATACGTAGTTTGAGACCACCCTGGAGTACATAGTGAGATCCTGTCAAAAAACTGAACAAAAAAGCAGTAACAAAAAACTTAGATGTTTGAAAGAATGACTTCTCTTAATTTTGGTATGATTTTTGTTTTTTTTTTTTTTTAAATTCTGTTCAGTTGCAAGATTTTGAAGCTTACCAAATGAAGAGTTCGACTAGCAAGTATATGACCTGGGACTTATGCCTGCTAATCTTGAGGTTTGCAAGGAATCTCATGTGTTTGTCCCAAGAGTTTCCCATTCTGTTGCATCTCAGTGACTGTCCTAGAAGGTCATTATATTTGGGAAGTATTTCAAAGTAAAGTTGACAAGACAACTAACTGAGAGAAGCAAGTGAGTTGGCAGTTTTTGTTTTGGAAGGTCAGAACCTGGGTAGTGATGACAGACATGGAGGGGAGGTAAAGTGGGTGATGATAGAATATGAATCCATATCAGGTCTGAGTTGGGAAAAATAAGTCATGGTTAGGTTCATCCTAAGAGTATAAAAGTTAAAGGACCCTGTTGTGATCTAAAATGTCCCCTGAAGTCCCATGTTTTTAGAGGTGTGTCTTTTGGAAGGTGACTGGATTCTGGGAGCACTGTTAATGGATCAATCCACTGATGAGTTCATAGCTGAGTTGTGCTGTTAGAAAGTACAGCCGACATAGAAAAGAACAGCTAGTACTTCCATTGTTTGATCAGTTTTGCGTGCTTAAACTTGGTAATCTGAGCAACTATTTTGAAAATAGCAATATGCAATATAACTATTGTTAATTTCTTACCATCATTTTGAAATGCCATATAATTTTTGTTTTATTCTCTTTAAAATTAAAAAAATAAAGTAGTGCTGGGTTGCAGGAAGGTAAAAACAGGTATGACCTAGAAGGGTGTATTTTTGTCGCTAGCTCTTCTCTCTGATTCCTGGCTGCTCTAGGTTGAGCACCCATCCTGCATGCCATTTTTCTGCCTTCCTTGGACTCAGATGACTATGGACTGAACTCACTGAAACTGGAAGCCAAAATAAATCTCTTAAGTTATGAGTGTTGGGTATTTTGTCTTAGTAACAGGAATGTGACTGATACAGACCTCTGTTATCATATTAGGCAAACTCTGTATCTGAATAGTGACAGTACTTTCCTTCAGTATGTGACCTATTACTCCTACCCCATACTTGAGATTCATTTGAGAAATCACCTCATGGCTTTATGACTTCTTGCCTCCTGCCAACCTCAGTGCCCAGCTGAGTTAGGTGTTCCTGCTTCTTCAGTTTCTGTGGTTAAGTTCAAAACAATTTCTTTACCGATTTGTGTTGTAATGGTTACCTGTTTTTGTACTGTTGATTTTTGCGTGGAGAAGGAACTTAAATGCTTAATGAATGACAGTGGATATCACAGCTTCATTCTTTGCTTTTGATAAATTTTAGTATACATGCCCCAGACTATTACTGGTTACTGTGGAACCCTAGCCTCATACGTTAACTTTATTTACACAGGGATTAATAGGAAATGCAAGGTGAAAAATTTATAAAGTAGAAGCTAGACATGGTGGCACATGCCTGTAGTCCCAGCTACTCAAGAGGTAGAGGCAAGAGGACTGCCAGTGAAGGCCAGTCTGGGCAGTGAGCAAGACTGTTTCAAGGGTTTGGGAAAGCAGCTCAGTGGTAAAGTGATCCTTAGCATGCCTGAGACCAGGTTTCAATTCCCAGTACTTTGAAAGAAAATGGTTTCTGTCTGTTATACCTAGGGAGACATAATAAATATGGGGGGGGGGAATGTAGACATTAACGAATAGTAATTCATAGGAATTTAACTGAAAGCAACTATAGCGAAACTTCTCCTCTTTTTGCATTAATATGACCTGCTAATAGTAGTCATTAAATTTTATTGGGCTGACAAGTTTTCAGTAAACTGGAGCTAGTAGTAGGCACAAATGGCATATAAGAGTACCAGAAGCAGGTCTGAAGTTCTGGCAAAGAAACTTAGAAAGAGGCTGTCACTACTGTACATTACTGAATAGAAAATGACACAAAATCAGACACTAGTGTTGGGTGAATAAGCTTTAGTAAAACATTTTATTACAAAAAATCTACAAGATAATAAAAAAAAAAGAAAGCATTTTTTAAGTATAAATTCTGAGTTATAACAGGGAATACCATATGGCAAAAGCAGCAAACCAATTGCTAATAGATGTTAAACGTAATTTTTTCATTACATAAATTGGAATGGTGGCATAAGCCTGTAATTCCAGATATCTGGGAAGCTAAAGCAGGAGGATCACTTCAGCCCAAGGAGTTTAAGGCCAATCATTACACAATAAGTGCTTGCTGCATGGAAAATGCTAGAGTATTTTCATGCAAAGCTAGCATCATCAACATAAATGCAACTATGAATTATCTAAGTCTTGCCACTATTCTTTTTTAAGACAGGATCTCTCACTATGTAGTTCAGGCTGGCCTCAAAACTCAGTGATTCTTTTGCTTCAGCCTCCTGAGTGCTGGGATTACCAGAGATTTTTCTACTGTTCTAAACTATGAAATGTATTGCTAACACAACAAAATCCACGATTTCATTTTTCTACACTGCCGAATTCCTCTTTCAAAGAGCTTATAAGGTAAGATTCTCATAAAAATTCTGGGGGGGAAAAAACTCTACACAACCAAATCAAACCACCATTTTGATCCATGGGATACTTGTGAGGTTTTATTTTAATATCAACTGCTTCTAAGCAATGCCCAGCACGCTCAACAATTCTAGAGCAGTATGATAATTAATGTGTTACAAAGCAAACAACATAAATCTAAGAGTCACTAAGCAATAGCAAACAGATTAATCTAGCACTTAAATAAAAGACTAAATTATAAGTATTCCCTTTCGGCTACTCTCATTCACCCTTTACAACTCTATAAACAAATATGGTCATTAACTTCTAGATAATAATGTACTTAAGAAGCTTATCTGAATAAGCAACTCAAATTTCAACTTGTCTTTATAGTCTTGAATTCATGATAATTGAAAATTTTCTCATTAAAACATCCCCTGGATTCATTTTTACTTTGAGAAAAATATTCTCCAGCAGACAAATTTACAAGTATCTATGATGGATAGTTTTAACTTTATATACTAGAAGTTTTATTGCTGATTAGACTGATGCTGTAAGAATGAGCTGTACCAAAAAAAAAAAAAAGAATGAGCTGTACCTAACAGATCTGCATGTTTAAAAGATAAAAAAAGAATTAAGCGGCAGGGTTAAAACGAATTTTGTTTTTTAGAGGTAGACTCTGGGTTACCTAAAAAAAAGGCAGCTAAGTATCATTAAGCAAAAAAATTCAGGGTCTCTGCCTATATCATAATTTCATTAGCACACAAAAACCCAAGGATTATTTTATTCAACAAAAGGTGACAATGAAAGGCCAACTGAATCCAACACAATTTCGACACCTGTGTAGCATCATCAAAACTATCAGAATGGCGGAAAATAATTAGCTATAACTGCAACTGTAATTCTACAAATTCTAACCGCAGGCCTTTGTATTTCTCATCTGTGAACACTCAGATAAGAAATTAGAACACAAGTTTCAGCATAGCCAGCTGTGCTAGTACATTCCTGTAATGCCAGCGAGAGACTGAGGCACAAGGATACCAAGTTCAAACTTAGCCTGCACAACTTAATAAGATCCTGCCCAACAATAAAAAAATTTTAAAAGGGCTAGACATGTAGCTCAGTATAGAAGTCCTGATTTCAATACCCAATGTTGGGGGGCGGGGGGTGCAGTAGGGCGACACTCGGAACACAGCAAGAATGATTTAAAAAAAAATTATATAGATTTTAAGCATTCAATACACTTCGGAAAATGAAAATGAAAGTTAGGAGAGTTTCAATAACATAAAGGTTTGATTTTTCTATTCCCTCTGAAACTGGGTTTTTAATCTTTTTTTTTTTTTTAGAAAAACTCTTGCTTCAGATAAATATAAAGTACACACATAAGAACACACAAGGGATGACTGAAAGATACACTGAATATTTACATTAAAAAATACAGAGTTCTAGTTCTGAAAAAATGCTATCAACATAAATTTAATAATCATAAACATCAGCAGCCTTCTCTTCCACACTCAGACCCCAAACATCAGCATTCACAGCTGCTTAAAAAAAAAAATCATTGAACAGATATGTATACACATAGCCTGACCATGTAATTACCTTCATGTCATAGCCATATGTCTCCCGAATGTCCTCATCAGAATCTGTTTCTTCATCATCATAGTCCACTGTTTGTCGAGGGGAAGATGATACACTGCTCATCACCCGGTTAAAGGCAGACTGTTGAAAACTAGGTAAGTGTCCCTAAATAGCAAAGAATTCCAAGATGAACAGAGGCATACTAAACAAACACAGGTGATTACTATATGCTAAGATCAGCAAGATATAATGAACTTGCAAAGCAGCTAACGGCTGTTCAACAGCTAACAGGAAATTATTTAACTATGATGCAAAGATTCATCTGAATGCTATTTCCTAGTAATAGTTCACTAAAATAGCCTAGGTATATACCTAAAGAGAATGTGGTGGGAATTTCTTATGTATGCATAAGAAAGATGCCAGTGATCATAATTGCAGACCAATTACTGTTGTTTTCCTAGTCAACTGGGAAGATAAATTTGATTTACTAATTATACACTGACAAATATTATTCCAAGAAACAGAAAAAGAATATAAATTCTAAACTTGCCTGTAAGTCTGGATTAGCAGCTGCTTTTTGGAGTTCTGCACTGATGATCTTTTCAGTTTTTTCTCGTGCTGCCTGTTCGACCATCCGCTGGCTTAACACAGACAGTTTGGCCAAGGCAGATGACAGTTCATCTGTGGCGAGGGCCTGCCGGGCTCTGTCCTGCCAACTCATAGCACGTTCTGTTAAACACTGAAGGGCTTCTCCTTCAGGCAACCGTACAGGCAACTTCTGAAGAGATACCAACAGTGACAGTATAGTCTCTAGCCTGGGCCTTCGAGACCGCATACAAAGTGGACAAAGGAATTTAACTTCTTTAGCCTGCCAGCTGGATCCTTTTTTCTGGGAACTTGATTTAGGCAGGGGAACACAGTTGTTATGGAACCAGTCTTTGCAGAGTTCACATTGTAGCATGAACCCACTAGCTGTCTTACGGCAAATACAAAACTTTACTTCTTCTATGCGGTCCACCATTGTCATCTTGGCTAGGTTGGCGGCTCTCAGTGAAAGCATAGCATCAATCTCTTTTTGCTCTCGTTCTTTGAATACTGCCACCTGCATACAACAAACACTTAATTGAAATGAGTCACTGCAATATACCCCAAAACAAAATGCTTAAGGCTAAGGGCTTTTTCTGCAAGTTGTAAATAATTTCTTAAAATTTAGGGAGTTCTGTCAATTTGCATGCAAATATCCCTAACCTGTGGGTAATGTCCAATCATATTTGACAATTTACTACACTAAATATATTGAACTTTTCTGTAAGATATAGGAAAAAGCAGGCATGACTTGAAATCAAGCGATTTAGGTACCAAATCTGGTTTTTACATTTATTATAGACTGTTTATTTGGAACACAACTTTTCTTAATCTCAGTTTTCTGAAAAACACACAAACACTACCAATCCTGTTTTACTATTTTAAGGACTAACATAAGACATCAAAGAGTCTAACTTGGTGTCCACCAGAAGGAAAACAGTACTGATTTCCTATCCCCTTGCAATTTATTCCTTGAGAGTAAGTTCTATAAAAATAAATTCTTATCCCTAGAAAACCTCTCTACTTCACATGCAAGTATAATAACAAAGCTTGATGATCAATTATAAAAAAAGTATTTCATAAAACTCAAAGAGCATACAATATTTAATTATCATTAATATTGTCAAAGCATTTTAAATTACAAGTAGCATGAACAATTTAGAAATAATTTTGATTTCTGCTTGTCTGGCAAGACTGTTAAGATTGACTTGTGAGGTAGCTTTTCTAATTTTCACTGGCCTCCAAACCAGATCATTTGGAGCTGAGGGTATGGCTCAGGGGCATGCTTCCTGCTTGGCAAGCACGAGGTCCTGAATTCAATTCCCAGTTCCAAGTCCCCCCTCCCCCGTGCCCCCAAAAAAAGCCCAGGATCATTTCTAGACAGAAAGAGCCATATCAACCTACTTAGTGTATGCAATTCCCTAAGAATGAGTTATGAATAACTAGTATTTTCACTCCACTTCCTCAGGTTACTAGAAATCTTAACATCTTCCTCTTACTCTTCTCTGCCCATCCACACACAAAAAGTATAATTCACATTACTATATTTTATTGAGCATTCACTATATTGTTGAATGCTACAAAGAGAAATGAAATATTTTAAAAAGCAACTCACATCAGTAAACCAGTACAATTACTCTGAAAAGCACTATAGTATTGCCATTTTACCTGTAAAATGTTTAACATTTTAAAAAACTATTGAGCAATCTGAAAAGCACACAGGCACACATGACCAAAAACAAAAACCTATTCAGCAAATTTTCTAAAACTTTGGTGGCACATGATACAAGAGTTAAAATAACAATAGGAGGGGAGGAACCAAGATGGCAGAGTAATAAGCAGCAGAGAAACAGCCTCTCTCAGAGTCGCCATCCAGTCACCGGACTATAGCAACATGAGGAAAACAAGAAAGAGGGAATCGGGTCCCCTGGATCCAGGAAGAATCTGAACTATGAATTGAAGCCCACAAAGAGAGTACAAGGAGAAACCACACAAAGAAGGAGGTAGCTGCTGGCGGCTTCTCCCTGCAACAGGACTCACTAAGCAAGAGGAGTGGTTCAAACCTGAGGACACATGGTGACAGCTGGTAACCCTAGAAGCGTCCAGAGGGAGACACAGAAATAGAAGGGGGGCTGGGGATTTAGCTCAGTGGCATAAGCGCCTGTCTTGCAAGTGTGCAGTTGTGAGTTCGATCCTGGGAAGGAAGGAAGGAAGGAAGGAAGGAAGGAAGGAAGGAAGGAAAGAAGGGAAGGGAAGGGAAGGGAAGGGAAGGGAAGGGAAGGGAAGGGAAGGGAAGGGAAGGGAGGGGAGGGGAGGGGAGGGGAGGGGAGGGGAGGGGAGGGGAGGGGAGGGGAGGGGAGGGAGGAAACAGAGAGAGAGAGAGAGAGAGAGAGAGAGAGAGAGAGAAAGAAAGAAAGAAAGAAAGAAAGAAAGAAAGAAAGAAAGAAAAAGAAAGGAAGGAAGGGAGAAAGGAAGAAAGAGAGAAAGAGAGAAAGAGAAAGAAAGAGAAAGAAGGAAGCAGTGGACATGGAGGACTGCACTAGCTGGTGGTGAGAGCTGAGGGCTCAGTCATCCTGTGTCACGGAGTGACTGGCAGGGAGTCATCCAGGAGAGAGGCCAACTGAGTTCAGAACTCAGAACTATGGCTGGCTACATCTAGAGGCTCCCAGCTGGGCTCAAGCCCACAGAAGGTGCATGGATGACTGTGAGCTGAATGAATCTGATCTCAGCCAGAAAATACAGGCTCACTGAGATTCTCCGCTACGCTGCCAAAGAGCTACTGTGGGCTTGCTGAGATAGACTGGGGTAGATCAGGACAGTCGCCACATGTTGTCTACCAGTGACAGCAGACACAAACCTGGAAGTGGATTTCCTTCTTTTCTTTCTTCTTTTATTTGTTTTTCGTTGCTGTTGCTGAGCTTTTTTCCTTTTTATTTTTGGAATTTTTCTTTCATTGTTTGATCTTGTTATTATGACTGTGAATGTGGCTTCTAGCCGCTTTGTGGCTATGGTTCTGTGCTATTCTTCTTTTTATCTTTTCCTGGCTCTTTCCTTTCAGTCTTCTGAACCAGTTTCCATATTTAGCAGGACGCCCTTTTGTCCTCCAACCTTACGTCTAATCTCTTTCTCTTTTTCCACTTCTCTATTTTCTTCTTAACCCATTTTAAATTTTAACCCCGGAAAGCTAAATTGACATGTATTAGGGACTTGTCTACCGCATTTAATTTTCTGGTTTGTTTTAGATTTTGTTATATAAACATAAATCTAGTTCATACAACTAAAAGTGGCAAACTAATGGTTAGCTAGGCTCTGTTTGATGCCCGTGATACTAACATAGCCAAAAGTGAATTAAATGTTCTAAACGGCTATTCCTCCTGGTATTCCTTGACTGAGATTGATTAAGGGTCATAGAAAATACTGCGGAACAGTGCCAAAGAACCATGGACTGGGTCAAACAAGCAACAACTTCTCATCTCCAACAAATGGAAGTGGTAGGATCTTCCAACAGTCAAATCCAAAAACTAACTACACTTGGAAGATACTTTGTAAAAGTAGTCATTTCCTAAGGGTTCTAAATACTAGCAATAAGGCAACCCATCATAGGCAATATGAAAGTACCATTCCAGGAATTATAAACTAAAAAAGAAACAGAAATGAGAAGATACTTAAATGAGATGCAACCCTTGACATCCAGTTGACCAAAGGCAAACCCAGGGGGCAACAAGGTGGCACAATCTTAAAGCCTCTCACTTGGCCTCTCTGAAGTAACGATAAAGCAATTCAAGGAGGCGCTGGAAAAAAAAAAAAAAATCACACGAAAAATAATCTCTCAGATAACTGCAGAAATAGTGTTTACAATGAAGACCATGTTTAGTGACTCTCAGAGCAGATACAGACCCGTCCCCTCCAAAAATGCACGAGCTCAAGAAAGTTATGAAAGTCATAAATACTCAGCATAGGAAACACAAGGACTCCATAGGGAAATTCAAGCAGATATCCAGGAGAATAAAAATTCCATTGAAAGTATTTCAAGCAGATTAAGCCAATGTAGGGTCAGGATCTCAGATATAGAAGACAGGTTTGCAGTTATTGAACATGAAAACAAAGATTTCTTTAAAATAGCAAGAGATCAGGCCGGGGATTTAGCTCAGTGGCTTAAGCGCCTGCCTGGCAAGTGCAAGGTTGTGAGTTCGATCCCGGTACCAAAAAAAAAAAAAAAAGCAAGGGATCATGAGAAATCAGTCCAGCAGCTGCTAGACGAGGCAAAAAATATTTTAAGACTGATTAGACTGAATGAAAAAGCAGGAGATAGTACAAACAATATTATGAAAAAAAAAAAAAAAGGTTCCCAGGCATTTACGGCAGACAATTTCTCTGACAGAGGTAAAAAAAAAATTGACATACAGATAAGTGAGGCATATAGACTTCAATTAGCCATGACCAAAACAAAACAATCTATAGAGCCAGGCATGATGACATATGCCTATAATTCCAGCACTTGGGGGTGGGGGTGGGCTGAGGCAGAAAGATTGCTGTGTGTTCGAGGACATCCTGGGCTACAAAGTGATTTCAAAGCCAGCCTGAACGACACAGTGAAACCCTGTCTAAAATGCCTGTACACACATGCGCGCGCACACACACACACACACACACACACACACACACACACACACATATACTCTATCTATCTAGCCAGGCATATCATAGTCAAGATTCCAGAAATTCAACATAAGAATAGAATCTTAAACTGTTAGGAAAAAGAAAGAAACCACCTATAAAGAAAGCCCATAAGAATCACAGCCAACTTCTCAGAACCAACCCTCAAGTCAAGGAGATTCTGGAGTGAAGCACTTCAAGTTATAAAACAACCTTCAGCACAGATTGATGTACCCCACAAAACTATCTTTCAACACTTATGGAGAAATAATTCCATGAGAAAAAACATCCAAGGAAATTTATGACCATCAAACCAGCACTCCAAAATGTTTTGAAGGACATTCTAGAAAGAGGTAACAAGGACTACAACTCCATGAATCCACCAGGCAGGACAAAAAAAAAAAAAAAAAAAAAGAAGGAAGGGGGAAAAAAAGAGGGGAAGCAACAACAGGAAAATAACATGACAAGCCTAAGTGTTATGGATTGGAAACTGGCTGTCAACTTAACGCCAGCTGAATTAAATCACCGTGGTACTGAGCATAGATGTTTCACCTGAACAAAGTTGCCAGCATAAACACAGATGTGGAGAAGGAGAAAGGAGGTGTTAAGGTGTTGAGGTGTTATGGGTTCTACGTGTTGCTGTCTGAGCTGTTGGTTCTCCTGGAGAAGCTCTGGTCCTTATATCGAGCATTGCTTCCTGGCTCCAGAGGGGAAGATGTGTGCTGCTTAATCTCCAGGATGAACTCCTCACACTGGCTTCCTGGCACGTACTCGACTGTGCTTATCGTCACAAGAGCTCAGGGCCTCTGTGTCTCTGAGGATGGCTGTGGTGCTTTTCAGGACAGCCCTGGTTTTTGTTGT